TGGTAGCAGCTGGGAGTCATTCACAACACAAACTGAGAACTTTATGCACAAAAGCTTTACTTGAACCTTTGCCATCAAGATGGCCACCACAGCTAAGAAACATTAGCAAAAACACAAATGGTTTTAATTAATTATTTACAGATATTGGGTTAAAACCCACGCAGCACGGAGAGAACATGCAAACTCCACCCAGAAAGGTCCCTGGCCGGGATTTGAACCAGTGACCTGATCGCTGAGTGACGGCGCCAACTGAGCCACCGTGCCGCCCCAGAAATTCCAACCCTTAATTTTAAATTTGTTCTGCATGAAAACTAGAATTAATTTCCGATTCGAATCCAAATGGTGTCTGTTCTCTGTCTTGAAGCTCATGTCTGAAATAAATCAGAGTTGATCCGTCTGTGCTGCTGATTTTTCCTTCACAACAGTTCTGGTGATGAAGATTACACAAAAATTCACAAAGACACAACTCGCAGAAGCTGATGTGCCTTTCTGAGCGTGCACCACTGATTTCACATCAGACTTGTTCAATTTGTCAAAACAAACTCAGCGTTTGCTGCCGCGCTGCCTTTGGGCCTGGGCAGATCCACCGGATTACGTTCTGCTACAAACTACCATCATTTCACAACGGTGAGTAAAGATTATTTGTTTGCCATTTTTAAATCTGATTTCTGTACTCCTCAGACTGACATCAAAAAATGTGGGTGGGACAGGTGAAGCACCCACACCTGCCCCACTCTGAGCCCTTGAGCAAGGCCCTGAACCCCCACCCTCTGCTCCCCAGTGTTGATATTTTGAAAACTTTTTTTATTTTACAGAAAAACAGCCACATTTTATGTAAAGGTCAAGTAAATCTCAGCAGCAACAGAATAAAGATGCTGCTTTTAATTCTGTAAACAAACACTGATGTGTTGCCACAATGTTTGACTTTTTATTAAAAACCAAATACGAAAACAAAAATTAGACAAAATTCCTGATTGTTAGTTGCTTGGTTAAAAAAAGGCACAGTGATGTATGAAAATGACAGTTAAAGCCTCCATGGACCTCAGTAAGTTTCAATAATTAGCCAGTTAATACAGTCATGACGATCATCATTGGGTTTTCCTTAAAGACTAACTTATTGCAGATGCATATCTTGAAACTGGATGTTTCAGCAGGGTGCGTTTGTGCGCATGCGTGCAGTTTGGCGCACCTGAATGCGAATCGGGAACGGCTTGCGACCGACGGTGAGTCATCATCGCCATGGCGTTAAGCCTCCCGGTTCCCGGGGGAACGGGGTTACCATCTCTACACCGCCAGGGATTTTTATTTTTACATTTGAAAAGCAAAGCGCGCACAATCCTCCACTGCCTCCTCCTCTTTCATAACTGGGCTGCAACACACACACGCACACGCAAACAGCTGACGCCGCGCACACATCTGCTCGTTGCAGAGCGCCGTGTCCTTATCTGAGTTTGAGCCATATGCAATATGTTTCAGATACAAAACACAAACGTATGCAAATGAGATGGAGGGGACGAAACTCAAACTCACGAGGCTCAGCAACAATCTCTGCTCTGTCACATGCAACTGCACCCCCCCCCCCCCCCCACAATTAACTAAAATATCCAAAGAAATGTTCCTGTTTTAAAAAGAGCAGATCAATAATAACGTTTCCTGTCTGAGCCACAGCTGGAGGATGTGCAGCTGCCTGCTTATCAGAAGGTTGCTGGTCCAATCACGGCTTCCCCCACCACATGTTGATGTCCAGGGGCAGGGCGCCGTGCATCTTTGGGGCTTATGATGTAATACAGGCTCTTTGGTCCGTCTGCAGCGGCTCCAACTGAATTTTATTGGTTGTTATAAGCAACAACCAAGAAAAGACTAGTTTTAGCAGTTTTCCTGTATTTTCATGTGCAGATATGTGAATACTGGAACTAGCACAAGGAGTAAAATATACTTTATGCTTTATTTCTATAGTTAATTTTTCCACAAATTACATAGGTCTGCATGGTTCATAGTTTTTATCAACTAAAAAAAAACTACCCCCCCCCCCCTCTCTTTACAAAAATCTGGTCTTTCCATTTGTCTCAAATTGTAAACGTATAATAAATATTAAAAATCATTAGATATTTTTAGCTTCATAATGTAACCCCTAGCGGCCATAAAAGCCCCCTCCAACAAACCTAAAGTGGCCCACCGGTTGATAAACGCAGATGTAGCAGGTTGTTGCGGCTCTGAACACTTTTAATTTAGTGAACAAAGGAGTAAAAACGACTCTTCTGGTTGTAAATGTTGCAGACTAATCATTAAAAAACATTATATGCACAAACTCCGTCCATATCGTAGAGACAACCAGCAAATAAATGAAGTCAGAAATGAAAAGTTTGTGTTAACCGTACAAACCAATACGATTTCTTTGCTTGTTTGAGACCAATAAATTTTAGGTTAATTGTCATAAACCAAAATAAGTTATTTAATAATTAATTAATTTACCACAAAACCTGCACGATGCAGTTTCTTTTTAATCAGTTTTAGATTCAGCTAAACCGATACATGTAAATAAAAATGGCTTTAAAGTGCCTGAACGTGTAGTTTTACAGTTCTGCCAGTCGAGGTGGATGTTTGGCCCCCTCCCTGCAGGTTTTTATTTTCTCCAAGCTAAGTTAATATCCTCCAGCTTCATATGAAAGTCACAAACATGGGAGTGATTTGATTCTTCTCATCTCACTGTCAGTCAGCAGCCGAACAGCTGTGTGTGTCTGTTAAATCGTTTTTAAAGTCGAGTTTAAAGAGACGTGGTGCGTTCACTAAAGCTCAGAAACAAAGAACAGCACTTGGCACTCTGATTTTATTTCATCTTGAAATAAAAAGGTATTAGTTGCAACTAACATTTAAAGAAATGAGGTTTAATTTATTAGGTTGGTATAAAAGTTCTGTCCAGACTGTGCTTTAGAGTTACCGTAATTTCTGGACAATAAGCCGCTACTTTTTCACAGCTTTGAACACTGCGGAGTAAACGATGCTGCGACTACTTTATGGAGGTTTGTTTTTGACGGACTAACGAGCTTCATGCCCCCAAAACATTTAGCCTTGTCACACCCAGGTGCTCACCTAGCTGCTCAATACACATCTTTCATGGGGGGGTCAACGAGACTACCTGTATACAAAAAGGTTAATAATAATAATAATAATCTGACCAATAAAATTACCCAACAGGTCACAGTGGACCAGTGAAACTTGGTTTTATTGGTCTACTGGGGAGGGGAGACCCCCGTTCGCTCCTCCCCTCCCCATTGTGCCCCCAGGGAGAAGGGCGCAGTGCATACAGGAAGATGAAGATAGTGATCAACGATTTCATGGAAGGCTGCACTTTTTAGTTTTAACCAGCCGTGCCACTGGCACTGTTCAGAAAAAAACTTTTACTGTGCGTTTATGTGTATGTTACGATACGTATTGTAGCATTCTGCTGTGTTTGACTGCTGGTCACGTGACCTCAGGGAGGGATTATGGGTAAAATTTACGTTTATTGCTAATCATTTCGGTTAGCAGTTGAGCATAGTTCTTTTAGTGATTACAGTAGTCCCTCGTTTATCGCGGGGATCCGTACCCTGAAAAACAGCAAAGCAGGAATACTAGTACAAGTAGTAAGCAGTATATAT